TAAAGTAAGTTGGAGTATGAGTTGGGGACTTCTCTATTAACGCTTTGTTAAAAAGGATGAAAGCGTTCTTAATCTAAATATTTCCAAAACAAGACTGGAATTTGTTACAGTGGAAAAACCTTTCTCATGCCGAGGGATAAGTTACAAGCATAGTTTAACCTCAGGAAGCTGCTTTCTTAGCTCCCTCTGTAAGGACTGGAGCTGAGAAGGAATCTCTGGAGGATAGTAGGCATCTAAATTAGATTCTTCAATGCAATGCCTACAGGTGCTTCTCTATCAGCTCCAGTGGTGGGTGAGCACTAATAGTGTTTGCATTGGGAATTAACATGGCGTAGACATTACACAGATTTTATTTAAACCTTAAATCTCCACTGCTGTGAGTTCCCAAACAGAGTAGCCTGAAGAGGCCATTTGTGTCTTCTGATGACCAAGGTGTTCCTTCACTGATCATTTTGGGGGTAACTGGTAGACGGAAACTTGGATGTGAGCTGGCAGCATGCACCCTCAGAACAGAAAGCCCACTGTATCCCAGACTAAAGTTCAGATGGGGAGTCCTTGGCTCAGGAGAGTCATGGACCTGTTGGAGTGCATCCAGGAGAGGGCTACAGAAATGAGCCAAGGAGGATCTGTCACGTTAGGACGAGGGGAAATGGTTTCAAACGAAAAGAGGGGAGATTAAAATTAGGAAGAAATTTTTACAAGATAAGGAAGAAGGTTTTACAATAAGGGTGCTGAGGCACTGGAATGGGAAACCCAGAGAGATAGTGGTTGCCCCATCCCTGGAGATATCCAAGTCTGAACAGGGCTCTGAGCAAACTGACTGAGCTGTGGATGTCCATGTTCAGTGCAGAGGAGCAGGACTAAATGACCTTTAAGGATCCCTTCCAAATCAAACGATTCTATCATTCTATCATGATTCTATGATTCAGTGGTCTGTCTCCCTTCTTCCATAAACTACATATCTATCTCCATTAAAATAGATGCATGCCTTTTTTTAAAGCATAAACTAATGAATGTCACCCAGCAGACAAATAGCAGACATTTCAAATCCCTCTGTAGTCACTAGAAAGGGACTTGCAGAAGGTGACTCATCACATCTTTATCTGCAGTCTGTTAGATGATCTGTGCCCTAGAAGTATTTCTTTATCTCCTCTAGCTAGGAAGGGGGTCTACTCATCCATCTTGAAGGAGACATCAATGGTGCAAATGGTTAAAGTTAAGGAAGCTGAAATCACACACCTGGTAGGGACTGGGCAGGGGACTTGCACTGCAAACGTGGATTTGAAAGAGGGAAAGTTAGGAAAAAGGGGGAGTGTTTCATAAGGGAGGGAATGGTAGGCAAACCAGCTCAAACACAGCCTTCTTGGTTCTGTGGTAAAATCACAGAGCTCAGTTTTTTTAAAGGAAAATCCTGAATACAAAGTGATAGGAGAACATAGTGTCTGATTTTGTAGATATTGTATGTGAAAGAATCATTTTGGTATGTAGCATTTGGTTTTTAAATAGATTTGTCTAATTTTTTTTATTAATCTGTGGCTTCCGTTACACTTGGCTCTTGGGTATTTTCCTCTAAATGGAAGTACACGTTACTGAGAAGGAAATTTGTCTTTTTAAGCAATGACGAACATTCAGACTCCTTTGGCTGGAACTTTCTCAGCCTTTCCTTTTGTTGGATTGGAAGGGCTATGGAAAATATCCTCTCTGATCATAACTGACCTGGATGATCAGCAAGTGTCTCAGTCTTGGACAACATTGAAAAAAGGCCTGGTGGGAATCTTGACTTTTGGAATTTAGAACTCATTTGATTTGATGTATGATCTTAGTGTAGAACTGGTCATTGAGATCTTTGTTGGAGCTCTCATGAGTGGAATGGAAATTATCTATCAGCGCTGATTGCTTTTTCTGACCTTGTGATGCATGGAACATTTTGACAACTAAAGAAGAATATATATCCTTTTTCTGAATGTTTGCACTTTAAAAAGAGAGAACATCAAGAAAAAAACAGCAGATGATAAAGTCCTGGGATGAGGAATGGGGATTTGAGCAAGGAAAGTCATAAGAGGACTTTGGAAATGTGATTTTAGAGAAGCACTGAAGGAGATAGAAAGAAGAGTAAGTAATCCAGGTTGGGAAATTGTTCCAAGACTTGAGAGAAGTTCTGGAGATGCAAAACACAGGTAGTTAACATCCAAAAGCTTGGATTTGAAGATGCAGCTGGTGTAACAGGAGAGACAAAGGTACTCAGCTGGACATCAGGAAATAAAACACTGGGGCCAAAATCATGACACTACAGGGAGCAAGCAGTGCTATATAGTGAGCAGAGTCAAAGGTTGTTTTTTTCCAGTAGTAGCTAGAGTAGTTTTTACCATAATAAAAGGTAATCAGAGAATCATACAGAATCATGGCATCATTTAGGTTGTAAAAGACCCTTAATATCAAACTGGAAGTGAAGGACATATGGGGACATATGTAGGCAGGAGGTCTCTCTATCTCAGAAGCAGATACTGCAGGCTTTCTTTCCACAATATTGTCTTTTCCTTGGCTTTCTTTCCACAATATTGTCTTTTCCTTAGCAGGATCACAATTATAACAATTAAAAAATTAGTTTTAGATTGTAACTCTATGATGGACACTTTGCTGCTGAGGATTAGTATAACTGGAAGCTCTATAAGCATATTTGCTCTCTATTTGACCTTAGAAGAAGCACTTGTATGTGGTTGACAACTTTAATTTATTCTGCATTGCATTTCAAATCCATGGAAGCAAGTGCTAATATGCAAGTATAATGGGAAAGAAATTCCTCTCATTTAAATGAGTGAGATCTGGTACCCATCTTGTGTGAATGAAATTCAGTTGAATGAAATTCTTCCTTTTGTGAGTTTTAATCCCTTCCAGGTTTGACTTGCAAATATATTCAGTGTATTCCTGTAAAATGAATACCGAGATGGAAAGGTCATAGGAGCACAGTCTAGCTTTTATCTTGTATTTGACCCTCACCTAGCATGTGTCTTGTCCATGCCTACAGCTCCTAGGCACTGCTGTGTGCAGGGAAAATGAGGTAAAAGTGATGTTCTTCAGGAGAAAACCTAAATTTCTCTTTTTCTCTTCAGCACTAAGGTGTAGTTTAAATTAACGACCCTTGGTTTCCCCATATAATATCAGAGAACTTTGCCCTCTGCAAAGCACTTTGAGACCCATCAGTGAATCTGTTCTTTGAAATAATAGATTTTATTTTCTTTTTCCCCCAATGATATTTATTCCCAACAGTTCTTTTTTTTTTTTTTTTTACTGAAGCTCTTGCAAACAACAACTATGGCAAGATCTGTTTACTGAACTGAACCTGAAGTATTGGGAAGAGCTGAAAAGAATAAGGCAAAATAACATGACTAGCATTGTGTGTGCTGGGATTAGAAAGATGTGGCTCTTTTTTGGCCACGCTGACCTAGCTTCTTTCCTTTTTCTTTGCTTATGCCTGTTCCCAGGTCTCCTTGTTGAACGCTCTCCTTGTCGAACCCCATAAAGAATAAATACGGCAGGTCTTGCAACCGCAGTACTTCAGGCTCTATACAATAAAAAGTCCCAGGCTGGTACAAAGGGCAGTGTTTCTACCCATTTGTGTTACTTGCAGGGACATATTTATATAGATATAAATTATTATGTATGAGCACTGGGAGAGACATTCAGAATAAATACAGGGAACAGAGGGAAGAGAAGCTTAGAGGTAGAGCGAAGAATGCAACACTGTGCATTTATTTATTCATCAAAGAACTAGATCATGTGAAATTGCATAAAATGCAACTACTTAACACCTCACAACTTTTTTCCAAAACCCAGAAAGATTTCTGATAAACGAGACTTGTCAGCAAGAACTCTCACAATGTCTCCTGGGCACAGTAATACAGAAAGCAAGATGTAGGGACCTGACTCATCCCACAAGCGATCCCATCCATTTACATTTCTCTGGCTGAAAGTCTCTCTGCGATGCTCTCACATGCAGCACTTGAACAGCTGCCGTGGGCAGTGGTACTTCGTTTGGCAAACAAAATACCCTGCATAGGAAAAGGTTCAGCCTTTACAGTCAAAATGATTTAAACAGAATGAAATCAGCTGAGGGTGAAATATTTGTTGAAGTACTTTTGCATTAATGGGTGGAGCTGTTTGGTTATAAGCATCCCAACCTTTCCTTGAGATGCCCTGACCTTAGTGAAAGACATAGGTCTGCTGGAGATGATCCATTAGCAGTTAAAATATCAGTTTATCCAAGACCCTACTTTAGGTTGTGTCTGCTCACACCTCTGAACCTAGGTGTCAGCAGCAGACAGAAGGAAATACCACATTTATCCTGAGAATATAAGTTTCATCCCCCCAAATAAAGCAGCTTAAAAGCAAACACACTTATACATCACCAGATCATTCCTCAGTACACACAATTGTCACAGTAAATAAGCCGAATTTAAGCAGTTTTATAATGTACACACATATAAAACTGTGCTGAATGAATTACCTGCCTCCATTTATATTTTATAGGTGCTGCTGCTTGGGAGGTGTGGCTGAAAGGATATCTGGTATCTTTAGTACCTATAGCAAACTTGGATGGCACATTTTAGCTAATAGCAGGGCTATCAGTTTTACCTATAGAAGCAATGACATTTCAGTGTCTGCTTTTATATTCCCTAATGCTATGTACAAAATGGAAAGACAAATTCAGAAGCTGCCTGAGAAGCCCACAGTTGCTTTGATCTGCCTACTGTTCCAGTGGTGAGTTGGAGGATACGTACATTACTCAGACAAAAGTATCCCATGCTGCTCTGGATTGTCTCTGACTGATGCTTTGTGGGCACAAAACCCATTCCTCCCATTTTCTTAGAATAAAAGTTCCCTAAGTGCTTAACATCTTTCCTTACCTGAAAGGACTCAGGATATTGCGATCATCCTCCAGCAGCCACCACAAAAATGCAAATCATATTTTCCCTCCCCAGAAAGCAGAAATAGTCATTTACCTGCCCTTGTCTCCATGATGGATCCAAGCAAGAGCCACATCAAAAGGTGCTTGAGCTCCATGGGTCTTGTTTACATCTTTCCTCCGTAACGCCGAGGATGGTGAAGTTTCTGAGAAGCGATGGGTTTGTGTTGGCTGACCCTACAAGCTGTCTACTGCATGGTTAGCCCTAGAACTACCAAGGACTAGCAAGGACTCTGCGGTCAGCAAATGGTTGTTTCACTGACTGGCTCTGCAGAGAGATTAAAGGCTGCTCTCTCTTCAAGTATTAGTAGCTTTTATCCAGGAAATCAAATTTAATGCACAGCGCCGCAGTGCGTGCCGTCGTGGGGAGGAAGTGGTTTGACACATCAGAGCTGCTGACTCCAGAGCTGTTCCTGCAGCTGAGGGCAATTGAAGGGGCAAAATAGTAGCAGGTTTCTGCAGCCACTCAATTCCAAACATGTGGCTGAACGAGCATTTGAGAAGGAACATCACCATATCTGGTGTATGAGCGAGACACAAACTGTGTGCTCTGCCTATAGAGGAAAAAGTCCCAAGGGATATTGCTTTGGCTTTTTGGAAGTCTATCTGCTCGTTGTGAAGCCCCACTTCATTTGTGTTTTGATGTATGCAGCTTCTCTGAGGCAGCTGAACTCCTGAAGGAAGGACATTTGACCCCCCAAAACCTGTAAGAATGAGGAGGTTGGCAGGTTTGGAAATGGCTTCTGTTCATCAATTGTCCAGGTTTCAGCTTCAGTAAAGCTGATTCCTACAAATGGAAAGTTGGAAATGAGGAAGGAAATATTGTGCTTTATCTCCATGTAGTTTTTCTACAGCCATTCCCACAGAAATAATTATCAGTTAGCGTCTTGAGAATTAGATGAGACAGACCATATAAAAATGGATTTAAACTGCTTTTTTGTTTGTTTGTTTGCTTCCCCCCACCCCCCACTGGTTTGGATACAACTACAAGATGCACTACTTACATCTGTTCACCAGTGACTCCATGCTTACAGGTATTCACTGCCTTTGTTTCAGTAGTGAAGACGCTTTCACCAAATTATTTCCCATATGTAACAGGATAATAGGAAGCACTCATACCAAAGTGTAAGATCTGGAGAGATTTGGTCTTTGGACATCTGTCTGACAGTCATAGGTCCTAATTTATCACCTTTTTCCAAGGTGCTCAAAGATATGCAACTGCATATGGGTCATCTGTGTTAGGAAAAGGTATTTAGTGAATAGCACTGAGAGAAATCCCAGATTTTTTTCTCAAAATTTGTCTTTCCTCTACTAGACACGTGATCTGCTCTTCGGAGGTAGAGGAGTTCACTTCCAATTATTTCTTCTGTTTCTTGCCTGGTTGAACTACTGACTTTCATAGCTATTTCATGGAATCATTATGGTTGGAAAAGACCACCAAGGTCACCTAGTCCAACACTGACCCACCACCATATCACTAAACCACATCCCCCAGTGCCACATCTACCCTCTTCTCAAATGCCTCCAGGGACAGTGACTTCCCCACCTCCCCGGGCAGCCTGTGCCAGCACCTCACCACTCTTTCAGAGAATATTTTTTTCCTAAAATCCAACCTGAATTTGCAAGGTGGGAACCATTCCTGCAGCCCCCTCATGGCAATTTGCATCCCCCAGCTGTTCTAAATTCTAGCAGTCAGTAAATGAGTGCAGACCCTGAGAGAAGGGCAGCAGATGCAGATTCTTCACTAGCTACTTTTATTTTCTCTTGCTAGCCAAGGTTTTTTTTTGGAAGGTAAGTTGTGAGCACTTCCACCATTTACTTTCAAGCAGCAAATCTCAGCATAGGTGGATAATAACCACTAAGATTTTATTAGAAATGGTGAGTTTTCCTCCAAGCAAGAGTACACTACGTACTGTCAGATGGAAGGAACGGTGACCCCAGGTGGTTAATTGCTACAAGCACAGTTTGCATGAGAAAGACCCGTAATTCAGCATTTAGGCCTTTTAAAGGTCAGAAAAACGGTTGCTGCTTGTGAGAGCAATTAGTTAGGTCAGCTTTGTGAAATAGGTCAGCGTGCTGAGCGATTCCTGGAAAAAACCAGCACTGCTTCTGCCAGCAAAAGCTATTCAGGTGCCCTAAAGCAGAGCTGGGTGCAGAAAGGTGGGGGGGGGGAGAGAAGCAAGAGCAGAGGAAAGATTTGTGTACAGAAAAAACCCACAAGGTTTTATAAGAAAAAAAATTACAAATGGTGCTGTAATTTAGATGATTTGTAACAGAAATGTGTGGCAAGAAAAGGAGGGTAAGTGATGAAAAAACTCAGAAGTGGTGGAAACTTGTTCATTGCAGGGGAGTTGGACCAGATGATTTTAAGGGTCTTTTCCAACTCAAATGATTCTCTGTTTCTATGAAACCTGGATAATGATGGAGAGAAGTCGGAATTTCTTGAGCGCTGAGGAAGGTGGGGTTGGTAAAAGAAGATGCTGTAGTTGAGTGTTCTCAAAATGGTCTCCAGGGTTTGGCTGCTCAGAAAGCCCTCTCTTTCAGCAGAGGGCTGAGAGGAAAAGAGACCACCACATGGCCTCAGTCTCAGAGGCAAATGGGGATGGCAAAGCAAGATGTTGCAAACTACTTTTAATTTTAAACAGTGCCACAAAACCAAGAGAGATTAGAGGCAATGGCCTTCATTTGCACCAGAGGAGGTCCTGGTTGGATGTTAGGAAAAAAATATTATCAGAAAGAGCAGTAAAGCATTGGCAAGGCTGCCCTGGGGAGTGGTGGAGTCACCGTGCCTGGAGGTGTTCAAGAAGTGTGTGGATGTGGCACTGAGGAACATTGGGTAAGTGGGCATAGCGGGGATGGGTTGAGAGTTGGATTAGATGAGCTTAGAGGTCTTTTCCAACCTTAATGGTTCTGTGATTCCAAGATGCAGAAAAGGAGTTGTCAGAGAGCAGAATGCAGACTCAGTTCCAGCCTTCCTTAGATCCATGCTTAACAAGGGCCAATTAAAATCCCTCAAAAATTCTCTTAAAAATCTTACTGTTTGAAGTCCTTCAGTCTGGAGCTCTGACCAGTGGAGGCTCTAAGTTCACCTACCCTGCACCTGATGCAGCTTTATCTGTTGGAAAATAGCAGAATCATTCAGAAACCGGAGAGAAAGCAGAAATTCACAGAGCCCTGTATCAAAATCTCCCAGGAGACACATTTCCTTTATTTCAGCATCTCAAATAAAACAGATTAGTATTAAGTTTTCAGCTGGGCATTGTTTTTTAATAAAACCTATGGTGTTATAAGCAAAGGCAAGCCCGCTTAAAGAACTGCTGTGATGTTTTTGCAACGTGGTCCATTTTAAAACAGTGGTAAATATCCATAGAACTCACTAGAATAAGCAAGCTCTGTGCTTTATTTTTTTTAATTCAACTGTTCCTCTGTGACTCATTCTTACCTAAACCCTCTGTTGAAGGGAGTAACATTTCATATGGCCCTTGTCAGGGCATGGGGTGCATGAATAGCTAACTAAATGCTGTTAATCTGTATGTTTCTTTTATTTCCTTGAAAGTATGGTGAGGGTGGTTAGTAACCAAAAGTTATTTTTGTTTGTTTTGTTTTTCAGTTGGGAAGAAATATACAGGGAACCTCATCCTAAGCATGGGAAGCAGTGCTACCCTATAACAAACAGCTGCAGCTCAGATAGTCTTTGCACTTAAATCACTCTTGGCTTCTTTTACAGATTACTTACTGATTAGTATTTTTGCTAAAAGTCATTACAGTGACATGATAAAACAGGCTTTTGCCCCACAGAGATAGCCAGATCAGCTCTAGTTTCTTTCTTTCAGACACTTATTTTCTGCCCAGATCTTTTCTGCAGGGAAAAGATACACACAAACACAATATTTTTTGCTCTACCACCACCTCGAGGTATGAAAGTTTTCTCTAAATCTGGAGAATGCTCAGTGCAGAAAGAAGCTTTAGGAACGGAAGAATCTAAAAAAAAAGCATCTGCTGTCAGCTTTCAGAATTTCAGAATTAAGCCAAATGTGGGAATGTATTCACAGAGATGACAAAAATTACATGTTTGGCACAAAGGACTTTCCTATCCTCCACAACAACATCCAGCTCTGCTGCAAAGCAGAATCACAGAATCATTAATGTTGGAAAGGACCACGAAGATCATCTAGTCCAACCATCAACCCGTCAGTGTGAAAATATGGGGAAGTCCTGGTTATGCCACGTGTTAGAAATGATCATCAGAAATGTTTCCGCAAGACCTAGTTATGGTGACCAATTCTTTTAATCTACTTTTTATTTCCAATAAAAATGGGGAAGAGCTGACACGCGGCGCAACATTTTTGTACCTTAAGTGGATCATATTTGACAAAGGTCAACAAGGGCTCTGGTTACAGTCAAGAGAGAACTGCACGGTCCAGATAGTTGTTGAAGTTCTCTCTTGAGTCAGCGGAGAAAGTCAACAAGTGCAATTACGGGGTGATTCACCACTTCTGGACATTGACATCTACATGATGAATCACCCATCCAAACTTCTCTCCATCCCCCCATCTGCAGACCATTCAACCAGCATAACCAACTTAAACCAACTTAAATCTCTTACGTGGCTACACCTGGGTGATGTAGATCCCAAAAATCCATGCAGAACTTCTAAAGGGAGCTTAAATTGATTATTTATTGACTATGAACATGCCAACCATCCTGGGCATTGTTCATCATACTCTCATTAACTATTTCTTTCACTGATGCCAGTCTTTGTGATGAGGACCATAAAACTGAAGGGAACCTCTGGGGTCTGGTGCTCAGTGCTGGATAAAATCCATCAGCTAACTCACTCCTTTACAAACTGATTATGCTTCATTTCAAATGTTGGAGTATTGAAAGGAACCTGATGCATTCCTGCCTCTGTCAGTAGGTATCTGGAGGGTTTTATCCTCCAGAACAAATCCAACAAATCTCTCCTTTCTCAGTGTTTTGAATACTTCTCACCATAGCTGTCTCCATGAATATTTATTATACTATGGCTCACTGCCAATAAGTTGAGAATATGGGCTTTTTGTTCACATCCACAGAGATATAGGAAATTCTCTTTTCTGAAACACAGAATGCTTCTTTGCATCAAAATTCTCACTGTTGGACAAACAGTTTTAAGCTACCTATGTAAAACCAGGCCAGGACTAAGAGACCAGGGTCACACCGTATCCCTGAATATCCTTCATGTGAAATAATAATAACAATAGTAATAATAATAATATTTTTTAAAAAGCTACCCTCATCCCTCTCAGGTCAGTGTGTGCAAGATCCTAAACTCAAAAGATGCATGCAGTTTCATATATAAAACATAAGCACAACCTAGCTGGATCAGGCCATTTTCCACTAACATCCATGGATGTTACATTAGTTACAGGCTTCATCTCTGTTCATGGATTTTGGATCTATTTATGGACAACCATCAACTGTGTAATCCCCATTTGAGTCTGTCAGTACCATTGTCCTCCACAACCTCGTCTGGCAGCAAACTGAAGGAGTATTCTATACCAAAAAACAGCTTCCATTTTTTCTGTTTTTAATGGATCTATTGTGTCTTTTCCCTTCTGTTACTGTAGGATTTGGTGGCTCATTTACTCTCACCTCCATAATGCAGTTAACTTAACTCATCAGCCCCATGTTTTCCCTCTCTTCATGTCAAAAGTCCCAGATCTGTGCTGTCATTCTTTGTAAGGCAACTGTTCCATCCCTGT